GACAGCTTCATTGGCCAAGTGGGTTCGAATCTCGGGTCCGGAAAAGTATTGATGGGTTTTCAAAAGTTCTCAGTAGTAGCACGGAGTCTGGAATTGTGCCCGGTATATGGAATAGGCTCACCCCCTATTACATTGTACAGTACTACAGTGGCATAATGTACACCTCTACCTACCCCTTCCGAGAGAAAAGGCGTGATGTTATGTTATGTTATAAATTTTACCGGAGCAGTCAGTTAAGTCGTCAAGAAAACAAACGAATAGAGATAGTCTAGTCGATTTGACAATGGCCGTTGTCAAGTGATACCTCCTAACACTTTCTATACTATAAATGAAATGTTCAACTTATGTAACTTTTAACTATACATAAGTATTATTTATCATGACAATAAATATAAAGTGATAGTTTCAATTTAAACTGTCAAATACCAAGCGGTCACCGGTGACCGCAACCTATTGTTCTATAATTGTGTCTACAAAACCGGTACTCGACGAGTTAAATTAGTGGTTGTTCTTTTATATCTAACGTAAGTAATAAAGAGACTTTTAATTATCTAGTTTACGATTGGACGTCTGATTAGTAATCTAAAGTTAGTCTGTGTACACACCGATAATTTAGATAGAATGTGCGAACTAAATTTTGATAGTGTTTTGTTCTGTACCTATAGTTTTGAAAACTATTTTCTATATTAATAATTTCGTCAAGGCGTACGGAAGACTCGATCGAAACATTACCTAAATAACAAAATATAAAAAAATATCGATTTCAAGTCGACAACATACATATTGATATAAAATGCAATGCGAAATTCGGATTACGGAGATTATTTATTTCGTTTTATTAATTCATTTTAATGACACTGACAGACAAACTGCAGTCGCCATCTTGAGTAGACAATAAACGTTCCGTTTCATACTAGCTCTCAAATACGCCTCGCCAATCAACACGTTGTCGCGTCAAAAAAGTATAAATTAAAAAGAAATATGAATAATTTCACGCGATCGAAGTCGCGGGTAACAGGTAGTTATTTAATAAACGAGTTTCATTCTTCTTCAGTCCAGTAGCCTAATATGGAGATATTGAAATGGCAGATTTTATAGTACCTATTCGTTACATTTAATATGATTACAAGTGTATTGTAATTGCCTCGTTGGACGAATGGTCGCAAGTACGAATGCCGGGCAAGGAGTCTCCGGTTCGATTCCCGGGTCGGGCAAAGAATATTACTGGGTTTTAAAAAGAATCTCAGTGGTAGCACAGAGTCTGAAATTGTGCTCGGTATATGGCAATAGGCTCACCCCTATTACATGGGACTTATAACATAAATAGTGAAAAGTGGGTGTTACATTGTACAGTGGCATAAAGCGCCGTAATGTGTACCTCTGCCTACCCATTCGGGATGAAACTCGTGAGGTTATGTAACGTATTGTAATTTTATAAGTAACTGATTCATATTCATATTCATATTCATTTAATCATTTGCAAACATGGGTACATAATATATAGGTGTTAACAAAGTTTATAGTTTCTCCATATTTTGCCTTAACTTGGCTTTTATACTTTATTACTATCTTTTTGGTTTCGCTATTTCCTGTTATTATTATTATCGTTTGTGTTATTTTTGTGTAACGTATTTCTCCATATCCTTAACGATTGAGTATGTTAATCAGGTTAATGTGTGAGAAAGGAAGCTGGTTATTGGTGTGAACTTAAAATATAATAACAGTACCTTAGTACTTATAATACCTACCCACTTTGCACTTGAGTCCTATATGTACTTATAACAGGAGAGTCTGTTGATATAACCAGGTAAAGAATATCGAAAGTCAAATTGAATTTTTCTTTAAAAGTAGTGATTTGTCCAAGCCCAAACCGAGACTCCTACTTCAAAGACAATGTTTTTTTTTTCAATTTAATTTTCACATTAAAATTTTAAAAAGTATTTACCTATTGAATATGTTAACACCTCAATAGCGACGTAACAGCTGATGGCGCGATAGCACATCGAACATTGTTATAGATTACAAATATAAATTAACATTTTATAATAATATCTGATTTCCATACAAAACCATTACATTTCTTATCGCAATTGTATTTCAGTGAAAGACTTTCTAAGGTGTTTATTTCTAAATAATAGTTAAACTTTTCCATTACCTGTTAGTCTACTAAAAACTTATTGTAAAGAATGTGATCTATTACTTGCGAATGCAACCTAAAGATTGGATTTAACATCTGTTCTTCGAGAGCATTGTAACACCAACTAATGAGTAGGTACTCAATCCAATTGAAACAAATAAGATCGCATATTAATATTGAAATTTTCAATTACTGTTTTGGAACATTTTGGCAAGAAGTTTAGCTTTATGTCTAATTTGTTTAGGTTTTATTGTGATAGATATGTAATGTATTATATTAGACAAACAATTCTAAACATTACAGATTAATCGTCGATTTAGTAAACGATTAGTAAGGATAGCTAACGAGTACCTATACACACTAATGTGAAATTTCATATTCCACATTCGTGTGTGGAAATGTTCTTAAACGTTCGACATATTACGGCGAATCTCACGGTCCCGGTGGCTGGCATATCTAATAAGAATGAACCTTATTGTGCGCGAGCATTCACCTCCCTCGCGCCTCGCTCCGATACCGTGACCTCTGAGAAAGTAAAATTATTGTGACCGCGCGCCTTCCTCTTACCTTTGAGCTTGCTCTAAAGAACTGTTAGTTATAACATAATAAATGAATATTTGTAAGAAACCCTATTGTCATCTATACCTACATCTGTATAGATAAATAAAATAAGAGTGTCTGTTTGGAATATTAAAATAACCGCTTTTTACTACATGCATAAGAAAATACGTATGATACATGTGTATCAAAATATCATTTTTTATAATTTTTGTCTGTTTGTCTGTTTATACTGCCTAATCTCTGGAATGGCTGAACCAATTTAGAAGCTGAAAGCTGATGTACTAAGGAGTCACATAGGCTTTATTTTGAAATATTGAAGCAAATAAAGGTATGTCCTAAAACTCATATTCTACACACGAAGTTACGGGCAACAGCTAGTAAAAACTAAATGCTTAAATACCGCTCCGAAAGACGTTTAGCATGTTGGAGATTACTTTTGTGTTTAAGATTTGTGTCTGTTGGCATTGGTCTTACCAACTATAAGGTTACGTTTAGGCAATCAAAGTTAAAAATGAACTAGATACATTATAACACACGCTTCGAAGAAGCCTATTAGGCTAGTTTCTTAAATTTTATTTTAATGTCCGTCCGGTAGATTATTTTAAATCATTAGACACATATTTTTTCTTTTCTCACAAATTGAAATGGTTTCGACGATATATTGATTTGAAAAAAATAAATTAAAATTTGCAACGCCTGAAAAAGGCCGTTAAGCTGTGCCTGTTATTTCATAAGACCTGTAATGACCTGTATGTATTACCTTAACATGCAAATAAAGACTTTGAGAGTTTGAAATCTCGTGTGACGTCATAGCGTGCAATAAAATGTAGCACGTTGTGACGTAACTACCTCCCACTCCTAAACTTAACTCCATTTTATCTAAGTATTATTTTATTATACGACAAAAAAAAAAATACGTGTCTAATATTTTTTCATTACCTAACTGATGCACTAATTAGATTTTTAATTTTCTTACCCTGGAAACTACATAATTGGCCTGACGTAAGACCAGACATTTAGGCACTATGAAATAAAAATAGAAGACTGAAAAGATTGACGTGAGAATGTCCCACGGCCTTTGATCTTTCAGTATCGGATCTTATTTTTAAGTGACGGATATTACATAATATTCGGACATGTCGTTACTTAATAATATTACTTACTTACTTACTTAATAGAACATAACTCAAAACTGGTTGAGAACAACAAATGAAATGGATTTTTTAATCAGTTACCGCTTTATTGAGGGGGAAAACATCTAAAGACACCTCCCATCTGGGGTGAATCGAGAGAGAGTGTCAACTCATACTCACTAAAAACCATTCTAATTCCTATTCCTATTCCTCCTTCGAGCTTTCACGTTATGGAGTTGTAGCCGCACCGCACGACTACATACCTACCAGTTACCAGTACCACCGAATACCTTACCATATACCTTCCACAATACCTTTACCAAAGTTTTAGACTTTCTTCGTTTTAGAAACAAGAAACAAATTGTCTTGAAAAAGACAGTTTACGTTTTGACTCCGTTTTTAGAAACAAGAAACCAATTGTCTTGAAAAAGACAGTTTACGACTCTCCCGCATAGAAACAATAATAATCACTGCGGCAACAGCGTTATCACACCGTGCCGCGAGCGATCGCTTCGAAAGAAGCGGTTTGGTTAAGCAAGCAGCCAAGCAGCGCAAGCGGAGCCGGAGCACTTGCATTCGTCGTATCTTCATTGTTCATCTGTAGGTAGTCTTCAGTCTTCACTCGACGCCGGCGCTCGGAGAAATGCGCGCGCTCGCGCCGCGCGGTCATACTTATACGGATGGAACCGATAGTGCCGTGTGCAAAGCGGCGCCCCGCACCCCGCGCGCCCCGCGCACTCCGGCGCGCCGCTATTGGTCGAAACTATCATCTAACTATATCTGATATTGCCTAGTTGTGAATATGTAAATAGAAATATAAGTAGCATAGTTTGGCAAATAAAATCATTCTAGTCCACACCTCTCATCGGAGTTTCACTACTACTGGAAGAGAAGAAGAAACCTCCTCTAGGACACTAGGCTCTCCTACCTAGCTCCTAAAGAGTTAACTGATGATGACAGGAAGACAAAGTATTTAGAAAGATTTGTATCTACTGTATCTGCTACTGACTGACTAAATACCAACCTTATTAGTTCATTAAGTAAGGGAGTGTACTTCATGATCTCGTACAGGACTTACAATTGACATCATAGGTAAATAGGAATAGGACGTCTAAGAAACTCAATAAATCAAGCACTCACAGCTAATAAATAGAGAAAAACGAAGACAATTAAATAAAAAATATTTATTCAAAGATAATAATGTTGATAAACTATTAAAGCACAAAAATTGAAACACAACTAAACCTATATTATTAGTAATTAGGTAATGCTTATGACTATAATACAATAACTATATCTATTTAACTTTAACGTTGAAGGTGACGCAACAAGCCGAGGCATCATTGTCGTCGTCCCACAGTTTTATTTTCACTGGGAACTTGCCCTGGAAATCAAAACATCACATCAACTAAGTACACCTAAAGTAATATATGCAAAATTAATTCATAGTTGTTTACATTTTAGGTCTGTTTCACAATGTCTGATTATATCATGATGAGTGCAACTGATTAACTGACTATAAAGTGCTATGATAAACATACTCCATTTCAACTGCGATATTAAACTTGGTCAGCGTGGACATAGCCCTCTTTTATAGAGAACACCAATAGTCCAGAAGGTTGTAGAGCTCTTACGGGTTGAAGATGATGAAGAGAAGTTTCACTGACGGATAATGTAATTTGACGTATAGTTCGTAAGAAATATGAATCAGAATAAACTAACAGAAACTTAACCAAGCATTATGAAACACGCTCTTACTACTGAGAGATTTTGAAATTAATAAAATATAGCAGTTGTAAGTAAACCTTTAAGACCACATCTTGATAAATATTTGTCTTTAATATTTGAAAGAAAGACAAAAAGTTTATATGCACCGTTACAGAAATTAAACAAGCAAAACAAGAAAAAGTTTAAAATGTATCAGAGCAGTGTAAAACAGACTTTTTTTTGAAAAGAATGGAATTTTTTGCTCGGTCTTCTCCACTCGAATCGACATTTTGGAACGAACGGACTTCACTGACGGACAGACTGACAGACTATTATTTTTTCATATTTGTTGACGTTTTAAAAGTACCAAAGGTTTAATTGAAATAAATGCTTTTGAGTTTGAAAACAGAACAATGTAAACAGTGCAAAAAGGCCAGTGCTCAGCTAAAATGACATGACCCGAGTGCGATTGCTCGAGTCGCGGCGCTGATTTTCAGCACTAGCCTGTTTCCAGAATTTATTCAAACGTTATCTAATTATCTACAGAAACAGATGCTGAAAAAATTGACAGCACCTCTGTATATTAACCTTTGCGAGTCTGATTGAAGTATCAAGTAAAAGTAGGTACACCATATTATGCAAGTACGACATTCACTTACAGACACTTACTACACAACTCACACTGTGCTAATGTATTCATTTTTAAAATGCCTTGCTCGCTTAACATGGTGCAATGCAAATCTTTTAAAAAATTGTGGTCTAGGGTCTAATAGATCAACGTTTATCCTTATTTATGTCAAAACAAAATATTTTCTTTACTTTTTCACAGATCATAATTTTACAACGTCTTCCACATTGGATGAGGCGGGTGGGAGTGTTTTTTTTTTTTTTTTTTTTTAAATCTTACATTTCTTATTCTCCACGGACTCTTGTCCGTGCCCTTGTCATTCCATTACATTTTCTTTTAATTTACAGTCAAAATTAATTGTTACAAAAATCTTACGTGCTACATTAACCACATTTTTTTTTACAAAGAAGGTTGTGTCTAAATCTAATATCTATATATACACAATACATGTTTTATTACATTTACATTAACCTTACTGGATCGGCCCACACGCGCGATGAGCGAGCCGACCTGCTCCAGCAGAAGGCGCCCGTTCACGAGCATGACGTGAGGGCCAGCAATCGATCCGATCAACCATTTCGTAGGGAACGGAGCGACCCAGTCCACAGCGCCACCGGGTGGGAGTGTTAGACTCTTACTGACTAAAAACCACCCTGTTCCTATTCTGCTCAGCGCCAGGGCTGAGGTACTTTTGCGATGACCTACCCGTGACCTCGGAAACAGATTATAACTGTATCTCAAAATGAGTCACTAGCTCTACTTACCGAGAATCTCTTATCAACCATCAGGTCTACATCGAAGATCCTTCTCTGATCAGCTTCAAGAGGGCAGGTCAGTAGTTTACAGGCATCGCCAGGAGCCTTGATAAGGGTTGTAAAGTTTCCAGTGTTGCTCACATCACTTGTGATTGAAAGCCTTAAATTCTCTGCTGCGAAATCTGCAAACAATCTTAGATAAATTGAATATTCTTTAAATATTTCTCTAGTTCACTGTTAATGTCCTTGTGACCTTGAAAATTGATCTTGCAAAAAACAAAAACTGTTTTAGAACCCGTGGTTCTGAATACATTCGCTTTATTTCCACATGTCACAGTGTTGTTGATTTCACAGAGGCACAATTGAACAAATAAACACTTCTTCGATTTACAACTTTTAGTGTAAAAGCATAAGAAACTATTTTGTTCGCTTGCATTGCAAACTGCGCAGCTGAGACTGGAATGCTCTTTCGAAGAAATTACCAGAAAGTGTTAAATAAACTTGTATTCAAATTAATATCATGATAAATATTAAATAGCTTACGTGGGGTCATATCCAGTGTGATGCCGTATGCCTTGTTCCTCTTCAGGGTGCAGAAAGCAGGTCCTTGAGGACAGGGGTCCACTATCACGCTGTGGATGCTGCATTGTGATGCATCCACTGGAAAGTAGACCAATTGAAATGACTCATAATTAAGATTCAAAATGAACGTTCTGTTTTTCGATTCACTAATATTGATTTGAAGAATACTGAGGTGATTTGAAGAAAAGGTATGTCTCGATAAAGTCCCAAAACAAATCTGCAATAGCTATTCAAATGCACAATGTCGAATCCATTGAACAAAATTGCACAAGGGTAATCCTAATGAACACACAATGGCGCGACCCATTTCGAAATAGGTCAACATCCGATAGAAAAGGAAGCGAGGACTAACAATATTGCACCTTTATTGAGAACACCTATTAAAAATTATAATCCAATAGGATAGATTATAATATTTAAATAAAGGTATAAGAAGTCCACTCACCGTCTCTGCAGAGTTTCCTGGTGACATATTCCGACTCGGCAGCCACAAACCCAAGGCTCAGGAGCAGTACGAAAGCCCTCATGTTCGCAACGTCTCTGCGCTATCACCCGACGTACACTAACTTATTATTGTGATAATATAATGGTCCTATTGACCGCAAAATAGATTGGAGTAGAAGGACAAGTTGATACAATGCGTTGTTACTGGCTACACTCTCATGCGCTTCGCACCCGACAAACTCTTTGCGACGAATTGATTCTGATCGTTTTAGACTGGCTACTTGCTTGCATACCTACCTAGTTATAGCTGTACCTCTCTATTGTATAACCTGTTATACAACCTGTTTCTAATATTTATTAGAGTAAGAGTACATTAATACAAATTCCGAACCTATATTTAGATTTCTGGTATGTTCAGTGGCCTGTCTGTGATATAGGTCACGTGGAGTGTGAGTGTTAGGTCCATTATGAACCTAAAATACCTTAGTTTTAATAATATAACAATAGTAGTTTGTTCTAAAACACGCAAAGGAATTTATAAGCTAACCCATTGTGTCTCCTTCATTTGATATGTTTTAGAGGTTTGTAATTTTAAGCATAACTTCTGGGATATTCACGTGGAATGTTATTTGCCGTTTAGTCACTGAATGCTTAGCTGGAGCAATCTATAGATGATCAGCAGCGTTTTAAGTATACGATTTGAAGATAGGATACGAAGCATTTTACCTAGAAGTGGAAGAATATCTCAAGCTCTACTTTGTGACTTGATTAAAAGCCTCTCATCAAAAACCCACTCGTAAAATCAATTGAAATTAGGAGCAACAATGAAACTGACTTCAGGGAGCCTAAGTTTTATCATCATATCTTTACATAGATAAACGTACAATTTAGTTGCTGCTATAGAACTAGGTGTTACTTGCCGGTTTTTCATTTCATTCATACTATATTAACTAGTGCTAGGTGATGCTGCTGAACTACTACATAGTATAAAACAAAGTCGCTATCCGCCGTCTGTCTGTCCCTATGTATGCTTAGATGTTTAAAACTACGCAACGGATTTTGATGCGGTTTTGTTTTATAGATAGAGTGATTCTTAAGGAAGGTTTATATGTATAATACATGCATATTGCACCCGTGGAAAGCCGGGGCGGGTCGCTAGTATTTTACAATACCAATATAAAATAATAATACAATAACGAGTTGGTATTCTGTAGTTTCTCAACAGTGTGTTAGACCGCTAATGTCAGTAATTGATAACAAATGGGAATGTGGTCTTTTGTGTTTAATGTTATGTTTGCTCATTACTACGCATGCGTGTACACTCACACACGTAGTAGTGTGCGCTCGGAATGGATTTGCGATTCAACACAACTTTACTATGTGCAATACTTGAATATGAGTTTACGTACTTAAGATGGAAAAATGCCTTTTTTAATCCGAATTAATGACCATAACGTAAACGGGATTGAAAATACGATTCATTTTCTTAGAAGAGGCCATCAGACGTTTTAGAAAAAGATGTGATTTACTCATTCTTTATTACATTGTTTAAATATTATCGGTGCCTCAGTATTTTTGAAAGATCGCATTTTTTCGTACCGCACGTGAAAAGGCCATGTTTGGTGATCAAATTAGCAAATTAGTGTTTGAGCTGCATCTAATAAGTCTACCTACAACAAATAGGCATTTACTAAATTAGACATTAATAGGGAAGTTTGTTTATCTGTACATAATTAAATGTAATTCTAAAGTTTGTCTTATTTATCCTATTTATTATTATCGGATAGCAAACCAAAGTGGAGGACTATTTCTTACTTTCAATTTGACTACTAAAACTTCATCATCAACCAATTCAAAATACCGAAAACGTTTTGTAAATAGGCATATTTTATGGAATAAGATACAAAGCAGCAACCAGATTGTCCAAAACCCCAACAATCCTTAAATTCCTAATTCCCAAAAGGGCGGTCACGCACTTGTAACGCCTTGGTGTTTCAGATATCCATGGTAGGCGCTGATTGCTTACCATCAGATGATCCGTCTGCTCGTTTACTAGCTTGTGCCATAAAAACGGATACGATGAACATTACCTATGCGCACACGTTTATACACGTGAAGTTACGAATGCATAGGTGATGAAAAATTGGAACAAGTGAATGAATTTGTGTATCTGGGATCACTATTTACGAGAGATAGAAAGTGTGACGGGGATATTGAAAGGAGAGTGAAAGCGGGAAATAGTGTTAATGGTGCTTTACGCTCTGTCATGTCGAGTAAAATATTATCCAGCAAAGCTCGACTTGCTGTAATGGAGTGTGTATTGACACCAACGCTTATGTATGGTAGTGAATCATGGGTGTGGCAGAAGAAGCATGAAAGCAGGATTAATGCGGTGGAAATGAGAAGTATGTGTGGACTAAAATTGAGTGATCGAGTGAAAAATTGTGTTATTAGAGAAAGGTGTGGATTGAAAGATGATGTAGTGACAAGGATTGAAAAGGGAATGTTACGCTGGTTTGAACATGTAGAAAGGATGGATGAAAGTAGAGTAACGAAAGAAGTATACAGAGCGGATATGAATGGGGCTGTCGGTAGAGGGCGCCCTAGACGGACATATAGTGACCAGATTGGCGATATATTAAAGAAGGGCCAAATTAAAAGTACCCTTAACCGACGAGCATGCATGAAAAGATTGATGACTGTTAATGAAGCGAAAGAGGTATGTAAGAATCGTGGTTATTGGCGTTCCTTAGTCTCTGCCTACTCCCATGGGAGGCAGGTGTGAAGTTATTTATGTATGTATGTAGTTACGAATGCGTTACCGACCCTTTAAACGGGAGTTTACTTACGGGTTTATAAAGGGCGTATTAGTTTTAGTTTTTACTACTACTAGTTTGTCACATAACTAATTATAATTTGTTAATAGGATCATTCTTATCCGGCAATAAACAGCTATTTATAGATGAGTTTATTGACCGAGACCTTATCATTATTTTATAGAGTTATCATATCTTATTTTTGTAATATTTTACATTAGATTTTTATTTGCTACAACATTTTTCTGATCATACTGTACCATATAATACGCGTAGTTACCAAAACACCTGTGTTGATAATCTCGGCGGCCATATTAATATTAGGTAAATAATTTGTATAACTATAATATATTGGTATGTACACTTGTACATGTGTATAGATTTACGAAAACAAGTTATGCCATATAACCATTTCAATACGGATTTTTAAATCTTAAGTACAGAACAAAATCGATGGTCATTTTATAGAATCTACACACCAAATCTACAATCAGCAGCAGAAGAAGATCTATGTAGAAGTAATCTCAACTGAGTTTGTAATAATTTACCACGAAATATGGGACACGAGAATCAATCTTTGGAAACTTTACTAGAAACCGATTTTCTACTTCATCATCATATTCATTGTGGACTTACTTAACTGCCCAGTCCCCAAGCGGTGACCGTTGACCGCTCTTTACTTACTACGTTATAAAACTTATATCCGATGTTTAGAGACTACTTTTGTTTGAATAAATGTTGTGAATCTTTCATAATCGGCGTTGTAGTTTAACTCGTCGAGTACCGTCATTATAGACACAATTATCGAACAATAGGTTGAGGTCACCGGTGACCGTTTCTTGTTTGACAGTTTTATTTGAATTTAATGGCAATACAAATCTTTGTATTCTCTGAGCAACTGTGGTTATTAACGCTTGTAGGAGAACAAGCAAACTGCGAATTCGACCGGGGCTGATGCCACTACCAAGCGAGAAGATGATGACAAACTCTTTTATGTAGAGAAAGCTCCTAATCCAGTACTTTCCTATGACGGGCGGTTTATGGTGATGAATGAAACAACAGATACAGTAGATGTGTAAGTATATACAGATAATTATTTATTTATTTAGATACGATTACATTACTTAATCAACTTAATGTCGGTGGTGAAGCAACAGAGACGCTCCTTCTGGTCGTCATCCCAAACCTTCCATTTCAGCTTGTATTTACCCTGAAAACAAAATAAATATGTTATACATAGCTAGTTTTTGAATTCTGTCTGCATCTTAAAGAGGAGGCCTTCTAGAAAGAAATGGGTGCATTATTTTCAATTGTTTTTTAAACAATTATTGTTAAAAAATGTATCAGTAATGCATAGGTAATAATGAACAAAACATGTCTTTGTAAAACAAACTGACTAAAGCATTATAAAGCATAATTATTTTGAACAACATTTCATAACAATACTAAAATATATAAAAAATGAGCCATATCGGTGCAGCCGTTTTCAAGATTTGCTTTTATTGACAATCTGGTCGCTTACCATTAGGTTATCTGCCTGGTCGTTTACTATATTATTTGGTCTTTTACTCCTATTATTATAACCCGTGATAAACAAAATACAAAAATTGGTAATATTGCTTAAAAAATTAAGTTATTACCGATGGCAGTTTCTTGTGAAGATGCAGAGAGTAGTTGAGGCTCTGTGCCTGGCCAGCCACGCTGGGGCAGGTGGTGTATGTGCACGCGTTGTCAGACCCAAAGCCCAGGAATGGAAGGTCAGCGGTACCACTGTCCCAGTAAACGTATGTCTTCAGGTTGCTTGAACTGAAGTCTGAAAGAAACGAAACATTTTTGTATTATATGGTAATACTTCTGCTGAACCCGCAACTTCGTCTGAGTTTTTCTAAAATAAAAGTAGCGTGTGCATTAGCTACCTCCCAATAAAAGTCCCGTCAGAATCACTCCAGCCATTTCCCAGCCCAGTACAAACAGACAGATTGACAAAAATTTTAAAGTGTTATTTTGGTATATTTATTTTTTATTTATTTAACTTTATGCAACAAAAGTACATAGGCGGGCTTAATGCCATGGGCATTCTTACTAGCCAACCTTATATGTATGTACCTATTGTATGCTTATCTATTAATATGCATGTAGTAAAAGCGGTTGTTTCATTATTACAAACAGCCATTCCAATTTAATTTATCTTTTTATTAACATCATTTATAGATTAGTAGTTGCCACGTTATTTGTCGCGCAATGCTGCCCATGACTATATGCCGGCTGTAGACTAAGGGTTAAGTAGACTATGCCTATTAAGCTAAACGAACTTAGCTTAGCTCGTGCTCTGTAGCTTGCTCAGTGTGTGACATCTACATATCGATTAATTACGTTAAGTATAAACTTACTTGGAGTGAAATCGAAGGAAATGGTGGCGTCTGTTCCTTTCTTGAGACCGCATGATTTGCCTGGGTTCCTGCACGGTGTTATTCGCACTGCCGACACTTGGCACACCTCGGCGTCAGCTGAAATATTAATGAATTCTTTATTAATAGGTACATATCAAACATTAGATGGCAAGTTCGAATAACTTACATAGGTACTCAAACTCTCTACAATATATTACAATACAAAGCAATATTGACTTAAAAAATATGTCAAAATTCATCAGACACAGATTTAAAAAAATTATCACTATAGAGATATTATTGTGTACAAGTGTGTGCGCACACATAGGTACACTCTCTGTTCTCTCACTCTCTGTTCTCTCCCTTTCTGTTTTCTAACTATCTGTTCTGTCACTCTCTGTTTTCTCACTCTCTGTTCTCTCACTCTCTAAACGCGATGGCCCAAAGGCTTGTTACTTTTTCGCCGGCGCAGGAATCGAAGTGCAGTCAAAATAATTTCGTTGCATAAATAAATAATGTCACATTTTTGTGTAATGATGATGAATAAAACCCAGAGGGCTGATGAATGTAGCGATGGCGTACAGAAGTAAGCTCGACAAAGCTAAAGTTAGAGAACCGTTGCATATCTTGGTGAAGATGTCATAGTTTCCCTGAACGGGGTCCAACCATACTAATTATAAACGATTAAAGTACAATTTTGGTACAATTATATGACAAACGTAGGTAGGTATTGACACTGTTCTGAGGCCTTAGTACAAGTTTGATTCACGTTTAAAATAATCGAAACGAGTAGGTACGCGTTTGGCGCTCTGATTGGCCGGCACCAATGAACTAACCAATCGGAGCGCTGAAGGCAGTCTCGTTTCGATTACTTTTAACGTAAAAAACTCGTACTAAGGCCTCTGGTCATGAAATGTAGTACCTAATCACAATTACCTAATCTAAACAAACAATTATAAACTAAAGTTTGCACTTAATGAACTTATTATCGAAAACTGTACAGTTCAGAGTGATATTTAAGAAAATAATTGAGTTTTATCAGTGTATTGTGCGTGTGTTGTTACAATCATCACGATTACGGGTGACATCCGTCTCATAGTTCACTGATATTACCATAGAGGGAGCACAAGTACTGCTGTACTTAGGCACTTGCGTAAATATGTGCGTGTCGTGTCGTTTGACCCCGACTTCAAGAAAGATAATTTAATATTTGAGTGTGATTAAATTGATTGTTACACCCTTTTTGGGTTGAACTAATTGAAAAACATAATAGACGCATTACTCTCCCCTAGAGTTTTCGAAAGTTCCCCTCGGTTTCCCTAGGATCCCATCATCAGATCCTTACTTCATGGAAATGGGACCATCTCGGGAGTATGCCGTTTCAAACAAAACAAGAATTTTGGAAATCGGTTTACAAATGGCGGAGTAATGTAATCAGCGACAAACAAAAAATGAAAACAATCAGCCGAACATAGTACCTCCTCATTTTGTTGAAGTCGGTAATTAGTGAGAAATGCTTATCGTATCTTTCACAAATCCTTACTTTAGTCTTAAAATTTCAGTTCTTTTTTCTGACTGCCTCGTGGGCCGAGAGGTCTGTCAACGAGGCAGTCCAAGTGCGACTGCCGGGCAAGGGATCTCGGGTTCGATACCCGGGTCGAGCAAAGTATTACTGGGTTTATAAACAAATCTCAGTAGTAGCACGGAGTCTGGAATTGTGCCCGGTATATAGCAATAGGCTCACCCCCTATTACATGGGACTCATAACATAAATAGTGAAAAGTGGGTGTTACATTGTACAGTGGCATAATGTGCCTACCTACCCCTTCGGGGTTAAACTGTCAAACACCAAGCGGTCACCGATGACCGCAACCTATTGTTCTATAATTGTGTCTATAATGACGGTACTCGACGAGGCGTGATGTTATGTTATGTTGTTTTTTTTCTGTTCAGTTATGATAATTTTTTTATGCCTTTAACTGCCGACAAAATCTGTTAAAGGCTAATCTTCCGCAAGCCTCGGTCATTATTGTGCAACACGGCAGGCAGTGTAAACTCCAAACACGGTGGCAAAAAACATTACCTAAGGTTTGATCATTCAAATTAAAGTATCTCAATTAATCCACGTGCTTAATACTTAGTACTTAGCTTACTTGGTTCATACGAGCCGGCAAATCAGAGGCCTTAATACGAGTTTGATTTACGTTTAAAATATTCGAAACGAGTAGGTACGTTAAACGGCACTCTGATTGGCCGGCGCCAATGAACCAACCAATCAGACCGCCGAACGCGTATTCGTTAGGATTAATTCAAACGTAATTCAAACTTGTACTAAGATCTGTGGAAACAGAGAAGAACAAAAAAAAAGACTTTATCGTTATTCATTCCATAAAATTGTTTTCTCAACCTCAGTGACTATGACAATTATTTATGTGGCGTGTCTAGACTAAATAGACTACTAGTCCTACAACACTCATACTATTCATAATATTATTGATAACTTTACATAATTATATAACCTATATTATAATACATAGGTACACAGAGTCACCACGTCATCTGATAAAGATGGTAAACAAAATGCAGCAGGATTTATCCGCATTTTTCTAGTTACAAATGTTCTGGTAAAAAATAGTTACCTTAGCACCTAGGTAGGTACTAATTAGTTCCTCAGTTCATGATATTGATAGGTATAGGCACCAATTTTAATTAAATTTTTTATAGATAATCTCAATTAATTTAAATATAAAACTCTATAGGGTCTTCTCGTCATTTTAAATTATTTTAACTTTTTGATTAAAAAATTAAATTCTATAAATAACGAAGAGACAGTTTATATTTCATCCAATCTTTCATACAAGTCACTAATTAAATGACTAATAATTAGACTAGATATGACCTAGCTTCACTGACGGACAGACAGACAGACTATTATTTGTTTTGTATTTGTTGAAGTTTCAAAAGTGCCAAATTATGGTTTAATTGAAATATAAATGTTTTGTTTCTGACACTCTCCAATATTTCTTTTTGTGTAATTAAGTTTTAAATAAAGTCTGTAACTCGAGTAAAACTTTTTCTGACTCTATAATTTCAACCGAAAACCATAATATCTTATTTTCGGACTCGGAAGCATGTCACACATAAACTATAGTACAATATATTAAACTTTAATAGCTAGTAACAAATACTCTAGCTACTAAAGTTTAATTTAACTTTTAGGTCCACTATACAACTATTCAAAGGTCTCCCCATTAGTCCTCCACGTTCACTAAGGTGAGGAGACCTTTGTCCAGCAGTGAACACATGAGGATGATAATAAAACTATTCAATACATCAATTCCCCCTACACTGATACTCTATTGTATACTTTCTCTGTAAAGGATGCTTCATCTATGCAGTTTATATGACGCTATGTACTTTGAGTGTTGGAATATTTTTAAAGATCAGTTTATTTTCACTCTTAATTACAAAAAGCAACAATTCAATAGATCAACCTCTTTACATTTTTAGACTAATTAAATTTAAAGTTCAAAGTTTGTTGACTAGTTTTACAGCCTAACTTTTATTTCTTTCCGAATTTGGATTGAATTAATTTAACCACAATTTCATATTATGCACGTTACATAAAAAATTAAGCACTTTCTCAAAATTTAAAATTAAAATAAAGTAAAATATGCTTACATTCAGAACAATTAACGAACGTTGCATCGTCGGCGAGAGCTGTGGCGAGGAGGGCCGTGAGGAGGACTACGCGTAGGACAGCCATGATGGCGACGGGCACCGAGTGACGACAGCCGACCAGAACAGGACGATTATATTAAGACGTAGATGACATTACGACCTTACGTCGTCGTGTCACTGATAAACTGTAATAAATGACACTGTTTATTGTGTCTGAGTTGAGTTTGTGACGGTCAATGTGCGTTGCCCTAATGCATGCTATTTGCTAATAGTATGTTGTAAATGGGTGCATTTGTTGTCAGTTTGCACTGATTGTGTACTTCATTTGCTAATGCTAATGATTTCTTAGTAATGTTTTGTTCTATGTGTGGATTATGGATTTATCGTTTTCCGGTACATTTTATACTTTGTTTTAGTTTTCTCTAAACAAATCGAGTACTAGAGTACTAAATTAAATGGTACTTTATATCCAGATATAAGATTATAGTATGAAAAAATAGGCGTCTATGAAAAGCACTAAAATGAAATCTCTACAGCGAACGAACTTTTCGCGGAGAACCTAACGGGTTACTGGGGTCCGGCTCGACGTGCAGGAGAAGGAACGGGGTGGTTTTTAGTCAGTAGGAGTCTGACACTCCCTCCCGCCTCACCCAGGCGGGAGCAGTCTACGGATGATTTTTCCCACTTCAAAAAAAAAAACAGCGAATGAACTTGCCAACAGATAAAATCGCTTGAAAGTGTTATATATCTAGAATAGAGGTAAAAAAAGAAATTGTTACAGTTAAAATATATTTATTTCATATTATATTTACATAAAATCCCTCAAATATACAGAGGGAATAAAATTACTATAAAATTGAGTACGTTGTTACAATTCGTTGTTCATGTACCTATCGACTAAATTAACTTATAATTAATATTACTATTTACAAACTAATATACAATTTATTACATATTTTTACATACGCCGAGAAAACTCTTTGGCATATCATTTCTGAGTACTTTATTATATTTTACTAAATTATCTCATACAATCTCATACATACAATCTCATTTTTTATATTATTTTAGGTCAAGTTATATGGATTTGTTGTATTCATAGCCTTGGAGTCTAAAACGAACTATAAATATCACCTGAGTCAGGTTCAAAAACAAGTTTGATCGAAACTGTAGCGAGTGGCGCTGGCGCATGCTGCTCGTGATTATGGGCCTTGAGTGCGGCTTGAAACTGATCGAGTAACCTCGTTGAATGTTTTTGACGTAAGCGGTTTCAATTTGCATTTAAATCATCGATATTGAATTGCTATTAATGTCATTTTTAATAAATGGTAGTTGGCGAAAGATACCAATAAATTCCTTCTAGTTGTAAATGATTTCCGAAGCCTTAGCTTTATTATTGACACTATAATTGTCAAAAATTTACGTAATTATATACTGTAAATAATACCTATAGAAATAAATTAGGTACAGCAGTTAATAAGTTTTATAATACTTTCTGTTTACATTTAGATATTTTATAGACCTTTACATAACTTCTGATTATTTCAGTCACATATAGCTAAGTAATAATACGGCCTATCAAGCTGTTTTCGACTTTAAACCTCTACAATAAAGCACAGTTATCTTTGCACATTTGAAAACTTTGTATTTACTTTCTGAATGCTGAGATAATTTGAATCTTGTTGTTAGGCCAAATACATGCAGACGCACATCACATCAATATATTCCAATCAGGCTAATTTCTTCAATAGATTTTCGACCGTAATCCACAAGAGTAGAGTTGCAAATCTAAAATACTTAGATTGGGATAGCTTTATGTGCTGGTGTCCAGGCATATGACAAAAATATATAAAGAATATACAATAACGCATATAATGAATTGTTTTGAATACTTGAAACGCATAAACAGATATTTAATGCTCTTATTATGTTATGAAATACCAGGAAAATTGAAATGTCGTGTTTCGTTGTATTGATTTCGTTGTTCATTGTTAAATACCCGTAAATACAAATGATGTCAACGTAGAAAGAAATTCGATAAATGATATAATTTTAAAATAAAAGTAGTTGTTTATTGTTCGTTGGAACGTTTTAATAGAACTAGCAAATGGCGACGCCCAAGTATAGGCCACTGTATTCGCCAGTTTTCTCAAAAAAAAAAATTAAATCTTTTTCTCTTTTTTTTTTAAATTACGAATCCAAATTAAAATTTTGTCATTACTGTAACATGTGGGATCATTGAAATTGTAACTTTCTGCCTCACAGAATAAAACCTATTTTCATTCCATCAACGTTATGTTCACAGTATCTAGCACTAATACAGCTAATTACAAACTATAATACACGCCTTATTGAGCTACTTCGATACAGATTCAGTCTTCTCAACAACACGTAGTCCTTAACTCAATAACATAGAGTTCAATTTCAAACGATTGCTAGCGTGGTGGTTGTGTTATGTTGGTCATCTCTGGACATGTGATGCAGGTCCTGGTGGATGCCAGCTTCCTTCAATATCCTCATTCTAGGTCCTAAGGGAACACCTAAAGCTCGAAGCTTGTCTTCACCAACGTAGGGCAGTTCGGCAGCACCAACTTTCTCTTTTTCCAATAGTGCTGCGTATTTCTGTAAAACATCAATATAGGTTTGGTTAAGCAATTAAATGAACATTTCAAGGAGTTTGTAAGGCTTTGAATTGCTGTAACTTGTAAATTATGACTATGTCGAGAAACCCAAGCATGTTTTATATGTGGGATAATAAGATTAGTCTTGTCTGATTCAGCAATACACAAGACTGGTGTTGCGGGGATGTCCATGGTGATCGCTAACCCTCAGGTGACCCTTCTGCTTGTTGCATTATACTCTAAAAAAAATATAGTGCTATGTCAACATGTGGTTTCTCACCTCATATCCAAGTTTCTTGAGGAACAGTCTCATGAGAGGAGGCTCGTCTCCGAAGAACTTGGTGAGCCGCTTCACTCTGTCAGGATTGCTGAACGAGTAGGGGTCTAAGTGCCGGCCGTGGCTGCCTGAACGAATGTACTGTTGAGACCTGGAAACATGAAAATTTGTTTTATTAGAACGTTAGAGTAAGGTCAGTTCGGTGACACCTGAATATGGTTTTGTGGTTGTTCATTTTGTAATTATCTATAAAATACAGCAAGACATTGATAAAGACGCAATGGCGGACGACATGAACATTGGTTCTGATGGAAGGTTAAGCTATTAAACTCCAATATTTCGTAATTACCTAAGATCAGGAATTTCCGTATCAACTTTCAAAGACATCGAAGAGATCTTTGAGTCTCATTGAAATTAATGGACAGCTAATTAAATCGATAAACCGAGTCTATACTTACTTGTACATATGCCTGAGGGCTGCGATCTCAGCTCTGATGTTGTCCATCTCCTGCATGACGAGGTGCTGGGTCCTCATCTCACTGGAGAGGTGTGCCACTGACCGCGCTAGCGTCACCACGTGTGACTCCAGGCGTTGGAACCGCTTGTTTATACCCTGCGGTGCGGAAGAAGGATCGGGTAAAATCATAGAAAATAATGCAATTGCTTATGTATGTATCTGGTCAATAATAATGAAAGTGCTTGTCCTAGTCTTAACTGATTCCGGATTGGATTACGACGACCAGGGGGCTTACTCTTGAATCCAATTTCGATCGACATTGGTATTGTGAAATTTCGTACTCGTTCTCGAGTTGCAACACTAGCGCCCATTGCATCCGTATTGCGTGGATATTGATTGAACTAAATGGTATTGAGTTTGGCTTTATATGTCGTACTCTACGCTAATGCTATATTAACTGCTGCGACTGTGGTTGTATAGTTTTGACATTGAGAATTTATTACATTGGCATTGCGATTGGTTTCCAGCCTAAGCACCCAGTTCTTATAGACACCAGCTATCACGGAGACTAAATATTCCTTTATATAGATAAGAAATATCTTGTAAGATATAAATAAAATTTAAATGACATTCTAGCAGTAGTTGTACCTTCAGGTCATGTTTCTTCCTGTGTTCGTTGGAACTTCGTCTCTTGTCTCTCACAGGCCGACTGCTCACTGAGCTGGAGGGGAGGGACGACATACTGCCATACCGACGCTTCGATGATAACCTGGAAATGATGAAATGAATCGTAGCTCTTTAAGAATTCAACCATGGTTGGTCCAGTTTATTGGTAAGTGTGCTTATTTAAGTAAAAATATATTTTCTAAGGTGTGCTCGCAACTTCGTTCGCGTAAAATAGTGATTCACAGCTCCATCTACGGGGACGTAGATGATAGCGTGATAATATGTAGCCTATATGTTGACCAGACCTGTTAGTAATATTCATGCAAAATTTGAAGTAAATCCATAAAGTACTTTTTGAGTTTAGCCCGGACAAACAGACAAAAATTCTAAAAACCATATTTTTGATCCTTATCTTCATATCTTCGATGTCGATTGTAGATCACTCCTCAAGCATTGTTATAAAACAAATTCGATGTACCGTTTTTCACTTTCCGACGATTTTATTATATGTATAGAAGAAGATACACACCTAGATTCCCATGTAGGCTGTTTAGCAAGGCTGGCTGGCTTTCTGACTCCGAGTAGCTGCAGCACTTCAGCGTACATATTCTCCAAGCCACGCAACTGCCTCCGGATGGCGCGCGCGTCTCCTGATGATGAGCTGTCTGACCGACCCTCAAGAAGAGACGATAAGTCTAAGCTTCTGGTTGTGGTGGACGTCATATCAGTGGTGTCTAGACCGAACACTGGAAAACGAAAGGTTTCTTTAGGTAACTGTAACTTTTTTATGAGGCTCATCATTAATATATCAATGTCCAGAAAATGATGCTCAGATTTTAATCTACTTGTGAAAGTAGGTATACAATAACAGTCTATTAGTATTTTAATAACATGCTCGACCCGGAACCATTGTATCTGCAGGTCAATCGAAAACATACCTATTTGTTTTTATATTATTGTGCACAGTTTATCTTCAGTTAGTATTTACTTTTAGTTAACGTTAAGTGTGGGAGAACCATGCTTTGGCACGAATGGGCCGGCTCGACCGGAGTGATACCACGGCCTCACAGAAAACCAACGTGAAGCAACGCTTGCGTTGTGTTTCGTCGTGTGAGTGAGGCTACCGGAGGCCCAATTACCCTCCCCTTCCCCAATCTCCCCAATTCCTGAATCCCCAACGATCCTCAAACTCTTAATCCCCAAAAGGCCGGTAACGCACTTTAACGCCTCTGATGTTCCAGGTGTCCATGGGCGACGCCGATTGCTTACCATCAGGTCATCCGTAAGCATGGCTACCGGCTTATGCCTTAAAAAAAATCTACCTAATATCTTAGTTACGACATAGTTACTTTACCAGATTAAATGAAATTATTTTATTTTTCTTTTTCAAGGTGATGACCACAATAGGTTCATGTCAATTTGTAAGACTCTAGGACAAGATAAGAAATGAGGAGGATGTTGTCAAGTATACTTACAATGTTTCTTATAATGGTGATCTCGTTTGGAGGAGTGTTTCTTATGAGAGTGCCACCGTGGAGACTCGCGACCACGACGTCTTTCCTCTGGGTACTCCGATGATCGACCTGGAAGACTGGAAGAAAAGCAACGAATAAGGTATTAATGGCAAAATAGGTCAGATGAGATAGGTCAAAGTGATGGTATTTTGTCCTATATGCCAGGATAATGCTGTAGTCTTAAGAATTTGGATTTTAATTAAATATTTTATGGAAATAGATCATCATCATCATCATCAACAGCCTATAAGTGGCCACTGCTGAGCAAAGCCTCTTCTCCCACGGAGAAGGTTTGAATCACCACGCTTGCTCAATGTGGGCTGATGATTACAAACTTATAATTAGAAATTATAAGCCCAGGTTTCCTCACGATGTTTTTCTTCGCGGTTTGTCAGTGGTATCTAGATCTTAGAAAGTACGTATAACTCGGAAAAAGTCACATTGGTACTTGCTCTTGGTAGGTTTCGAACTCGCATCCTCATGCATGAGAACCGGGCGTCTTAACCTCCGGGCCACCACGACATTTTTGGAAATGGAAATAGATGCATTGTTAAAAATGTTTACCTATTTCTCTTATGCATATCTGATGATGGAGATAGCGGCGGTAAAGGTGGTGTGACCGAAGTGTCTGATGTAGCTGATGAGTCCAATCGCATGCCTGCCAGCTTCGGCTCCAAGATGTGTCGTAACTCACATTCTACCCAGTCGTTCTCAGTACCTGAAAACAGATAAGAAACTTGTCATTCAAAATACTGGATATTATCGGTGCTCACACCTATGAGGTAATGTTTTTGAGAAAAATTAAGGCAAGAAATCAATTGCGTGATTTGTTTGTAATTCTAGCACAACATCTTCAAAGATATTTAGCACAAGACTTTTCGGTGAAGTGATCTTGATCTATTTATGCTTTGGCCGACAAAGCCAGAGAATTTAAACGATCTTAGCAATACCACGGTTTGTGGAATAATAGCATACTGATAATAACAGAACATAACATAACACCACGCCTTTTATCCCCGAAGGGGTAGGCAGAGGTGCACGTTATACCACTGTACAATGTAAAACACCCACTTTTCACTATTTATGTTATGAGTCCCATGTAATAGGGGGTGAGCCTATTGCCATATACCGGGCACAATTCCAGACTCCGTGCTACTACTGAAAATATTTAAAAACCCAGTAATACTTTGCCCGACCCTGAAATCGAAACCGAGACCCCTTGCCCGGCAGTCGCACTTACGACCATTCGGCCAACGAGGCAGTCTGATAATAGTCTCGTATAATATTACTAAAGCGTCAATAACATCTTACTTTGTCCCGGAGGCTGTTGGCTGGTTCCAGGTTGTGGTTGCCTGGTTCCCTGTGCATCAGAGTCTGCTGAAGTATCATGTAGGGGCTCTGGTCGCCGCCCACTGGAGTACGCCACGCTGCCTCGGCCTGAGTCTACATTAGACGACTGCCCGCCATTCTTGTCATAGTCTGAAACATTTTCAAAACGTTCGTAATATAGACAGACAGAGTTTGCTACTAGATTAATTTTATTCAAAGAGGAATGGAAGAATTAGCTTTTACCCGCGGCTTCGCTCGCGTCACAAAAGGATAAAAAGTAGCCCACGTGACATATACCAATACACACAGCGCCATCTATACAAATAATTTCGTTTTCCCTCGAGAATATCAAATTTTTCCGGGATAAAAAGTACCCTATTATTTAATCCGGACTTCTAACTTTACGTTTGCAAAAATTCAAAGCAATCGGTTTAGTAGTTACGGCTTGAAAGCGGAACAAACAAACAAACAAACTCACTTTCCGATTTATAATATTATTAGTGAGGATTACACTGGCTTAGAATTATTTTAAAGTTAATAGCTTTTGGAGACACTCAGTACAGGGTTCTCTTGAATATTGATGTAGCGGATTGCCCGAACCATAAAGAATTACGGAAGCAGCAGAATGACTTTTTATAATTTAAATAAAACGAGTTACTTTATTTGTATTGTAAGTAAAGCATTAACGTCAATAGTTCCATAAAACTCCGAATTTACATACACTGTAACCAATTAAAGGCATAAATAAACGTGTGTTTAACGATTGCGTAATTTGTTTCTTTCCTACTTCGTCAACTTGGGCATCATTTCACAAGATTTACGATCGGCATAAATGTTTATGAGGTAACAAATATTTTAATATGGTGGAGTATGGTGATTAAGAAGACAGACAATAAATGTACAAAAACTTAATTTATAGACTTTGAGAAATAAATCGATGTTAATATTTATACCTGAGCTAGCCCCTGATCCTGCTCCTTTTTTCCCATGTGCTTTGAGATCTTCTATTCTATTCGGAGTTTGTCTTGAGGACGACGGTTGTGGATTGTAAGCTTCGGCCTTCCCACTAGAGTTATAGACACTATCAGCTGACTTCTGACTAGCACTTTCATCATTCCTCTCTTGTGACGTCGAAGGTTCATCCTTCTTATGTCCTATTGAATCTGGAGTTCTACGTTCCTTGTGGATGTCTGGTGTTCTTCGTTCTTTATGGCTATCAGGAGTTCTTCTCTCCTTATGACTATCTGGTGTTCTTCTGTAAACGTTGTCCTGCATCCTTTGTGATTCTATTGATCGTCCACTTGTTCTAATACGTTCTTCATAACTAGATCTACCCTGAGCTGCTAGTCTTGCTCGGAAGCCTCCGTCATCTGATTCCCGTTCCTCACCGTTTCGTGGGTGTTCATTAGGTGAGTGATCTAGAAGGTTTCCATGTGAGTTCCTCCTTCCAGGATCATGTATCTGAGGGGTTGTGACCTCTGGTCTGTGTTGTGGCTCATCTAATAAGTGTGGATGTGAAGCCGCTCGTCTTCCTTCCACGAAGCCTCGTCGCACTATCTCTCTTTCTAATTGCTGTGGACTTCTGAGGTCGGGTCTTGAATGTGAGTTGTCGAACTGGAAACATAATATTTACATTTTTAGTCAATATAAAGTGAATAATGATAGTGGTTTCGTAAATTACAAAAAGAAACAAACGACTACCAAGTCAATGCCCGTTGTTAATATTAGCTTTGGTAGAATATATGTTCGCATTCTGTAGAGGAAGTGGTAATAAAAGTAGACGATATTCCTTAGACGTTCGTTGTAAAACATGTTATATTATAACAGCTAAAGGAAGTGCGAAGTTGTTTGGTTTCCTCAATGCTGGCAGATGCGAATGTCTATAAAAAGTGTACCTATGGGTAATTTAAAACCTGCGCTTTGATTTTGCAGAAAACCGACTTAAGATGTTCTACTCAGTTGTGCTACTAAGCAGAAATATTATTTTACCCAGTTGTTTCATAACGAAACAATGGCAGGGGTTGATGACACATTTTCTTTTAAATATTTACGAAAATGAAAGTTTTCAATGAATGAGCGGTAAAACATACATGATTAATTGCTGTAATAAACTTTACAAGTGATATCACAATTAACAATGTAAATAAAGAAACACTGGACGAATACAAGTACTTTGACAGCGAGAACAATGCTCCAATAAATCCAGTAAAAATCTTTGCTAAGATGGCGGCGCAGGCGCTTTGTACACTGAATATAATTGCTACGCACTCGTGGGAACAAGGCGTTAATTGTCGAGAACCATTATCTCAACCTGAGAAAAGAACATGGGACTTTGTGTTGCAAGTGTTACGACAGTTGGACGTACTGTTTGAAGAATGTATCTTAGAATTACTTGTAATGATTCTTTTTAACACAGTTTTCTGTAATTGTTACAGTTCTGCCATCGATTTCAAATGCATGATTGATCTTGTTGGTGAATTTTAATACTTAACTATTTTCTCACGTTGATTGACTTGCAACCTATTTCAAAAGTGTCTTGCAACCTATTATTGTGACTGTATTATTGTGACTTGCAACCTATTTCAAAGGTCATAATTACGAAAACGTATTAGTTTATTAAAATGCAATTTGATGTCTACTGACCTCTACGTTTCGTAAGTACTATTGATTTCGATTTCCACTTCAACCTTTCTTTCTTTCAATCATTAAAATCTGCTTTCCAAACATTATTCATGTCAGAAAAACCATTGGCAATGTTTTAATTGTTTCTAACGTCTATTGTTACAGCAAATGAGTTTATTGTACTCTTATACACACTGTACACCGATTCATTTTTATCTACATGGTAATCTACCTGTATCTTAATTGCAAGTTTATAGTTCATTTAATTGATATTGTTGTAAATAGTATCTTATGCCTACCTGTGATTGAGGTCCAGTTTTCAATGAAGTAAAATTTGCCATAGACCGAACTTCCATATCCCTTTGATATAGTGCACTTCTCCGGCCTGGAGGTCCGTACTGCTGGTATAATGCATCAGCGCCCAGGGCCTGAGGCTGTCGGTGTGGTGTACTGGCCAGCATCTCCTGTGACCTGGCTTGAGGACTCATCATCATGTGGGACTGCACCATCTGTTGCTGCTGCATCAGTTGTCTGGTATAAACAAACCACATCATTAAAATCTCCTCTACATCATTAATCATTATTAGCTCTAGCTTGTGTTGAAGGCGTAACTATGAAATTGAAGTCTTTGTTAAGACATTTGTTGATTGAAATTGATAAATGGTATTTCATTCAGTTTTAATTGACTCCTTATCTGATTGAAAATCAATGTTAAATGGTAGGTTCCCACATGTGCAGTGTAGATGGCATATAATTACTGTGTCGTATATTATCATCAAAATTGTTGCTGCTATAGTATAAAATGCGTATTTTTTATTCTCATACACGGATTTAATGATTGTTATATATTTTGGGTCACACTGTTTGAAAATGCAATACCACTGTCGTATGCATTTAAAGTACTGCATAATAACGTAACGGGTGCTACTTGGAAGGAAGAGGATATCAAAGCTCAATTAAACCAAGGTGTCATACCTGTGTGGTGACGGACTAGGATATGCCATGTTATTGGCGATTCCGTGACTGTACTGCATTTCCGGCCTCGTCTGTGTCATAGGCCTTCCATATATTCCTTGCTCTACTTTTCTCGGTCCATTCTCTCTTGGTGTCACCTGTTCAGGCTCTGGCCTCTCTGGTCTCTTTCTCTCTTCACTGTTATTCAAACTTGGTTCTTGTTCATTATTCTTCTCACCATCATTAGCGTCTTTACTCTTAAACCTGCTTGAGATCATATCTTTGAGTGTGTGGTACGTTTTACTGACAGACTTCGTGCTCTTCGGGGCGTCTCTTGTGTTGTCTTTCCCAGTTTCAACTGTAACTGTTATAAGCTGTGAGTTGTTCGGAGTGTCCACTTTGCCGTAGGTCTTCGCTGGTATGGGAGGTTTGGGCGAGTCGTAGTTTTGCATATTCCTGGGCACAGCTCCCTGGTTTTGGTTCATGTACCCGTACTGCTCGTGGTACTGTCTGAAGCCGTCCCCAGACGTGCCAGCCTGCTGGTTCTGCGTGAGAAACGGTATGTATTAAGTATCGTGTGTTATTGTTAGTCGTGCCATGGGAAGCGCACACAATGGGCTGTTAGGGAGCTCGGATTGTTAGGAGCTGTGTTTTTCGTAGCTGTAAATGTGGTAACTTTGGTGAAAGGCGCATTATTAAAGATGGAAATTAAGAAAATAAGTGGCCTAAATGTTATCGAAAGTTTGGTGGACTAATGAACTATGCCTGTTTGCTATATCTTCCGTGTAAATAAAGTTATTGATTGCCACTGGCATGCACTGTAATAATACGTGCTTGCATAATAAGCTTATCTAAGTAATTTTATGTCCTCTTAACTACTTGATGATTATTTTATGTAACGTTAATGAGTTCATGTTTCATAACTTTAGTATCTGACATTCTCGTAGACTACATCGTTAGAATAGCAAAATTTCTGACATAAGTTTTCTAAATTACTTAAATATCGATAAACATAGATATTTGAATTTCACCCGGCACACAATCACACAACACACCCCCGCACCGGATACAGCTGACATAACACAGCCTTAACTCTAAAACTACACGTTTTCCAAACATTTTAAAACCAAAATTCTAAAGATATCAAATACTGACATTTTCCAGCGCGAATTCCACCATTTTTATTTTAATAATCACTTCACATTACAACACAAGTTAAGTTCATGAAGTTCTAAATATTACTGATGTCGTGCGCACAACACCGGATGCGCGTGCGTTTGGATCCGACCGTGCGCCCGACGAGAGGCGAGGCTTGTATATGACGAACGACGAATTGTGTTCCCTGCCTGTACGCCTCGCCTTGTACCGACTTCTATTTAAGTGAGAACTTCTTTATGAGACGGTCTATTGTCTTCAATCTTAAATATGTTATGTATTTTTAAATGAGTCAAAAACTTTAACGAAGCATTTAAAATACTTGATTGTTGGGATTTAATTCTTGTCAATTCTTGTAATTGTAAAATCAACAGTCCTTCATAATTGGTTTTTGATAATAAAAATGTTGATTTTAAACCACTTCATTCTAGTTGCAATGGCAGTGGTTGTGAAGTATGAAGCCCTAGGTTCGAACGCCTCAAAAGTTCTTTTTTTGGTACAGGAATTTTCAATAGGCGTTTGTGTCGGTTGGAATATCTTACCTCTACATACATCACAAAAGCTTTTAAACAAACGATGAGTGTATATAGTCATTATAAGCAAAATGTTATAAACTAGATCATTGATGAATGTCCTGGTGAAAAATATTTACAGAATAATATAGTTTCTGTTAAGTTAGAAGTATTGAGTTCACCAATATGAACTGACAAAAAGACCTACAATACTATACATCCACGCTGCCTGTTGTCACTAACACACCTATTACTCGATCGATTGCCTACTAGATAGTTCCCAACTTTCACGATTTCTCTGATAATGTGTAGTCGTGGTCCATAACTCATGTAGCCGTGACGTGCACCATCATTAATAACCATCGATGTTATGCTCGAAGACACTTCATGGAACTTCCTTAGTCCCTAATTATTTTCCAGTTGATGGGTTTTCGAAAAGCCTTCTTCTTAATGTTACTACAGCTTTGATATAAGACTGCCTCGTTGGACGAGTGGTCGTAAGTGCGACTGCCGGGCAAGGGGTCTCGGGTTCGATTCCCGGGTCGGGTAAAGTATTACTGGGTTTTTTAATATTCTCAGTAGTAGCACGGAGTCTGGAATTGTGCACGGTATATGACAATAGGCTCACCCCCTATTACATGGGACTCATAACATAAATAGTGAAAGGTGGGTGTTACTTTGTACAGTGGTATAATGTGCACCTCTGCCTTCGGGGATAAAAGGCGTGATGTTATGTTGTTTATGTGTATGCTTTAATATAATATTAACGTTGCTTTAACGTTGTATAATAAGAATCGTTGGTACATGAATTTTTTTCTATAAAACTCTTTGTAAAACAATGAGATGAAGTGTAACAATAACTTCAGCTTTCTTGGACAATGTTATCATTATGCCTGTGAGATCTTTATTATGAGCATATCATGTGTACCTTTCCTACAACTCTATACTATACTTGTTTGAAATTTTACTACGAATAACATTAACATTCACATGACATATGATCGTCTATATCCCCTTACGTTTGTCTTACGAGATACTACTGCACTTGGGAGTAAAGAAACGGTGCCACTAGCGTTTATTATACTTCTTCGGTTAAGGCTTATTGTCTACAAAGCATCATGACGAAAACATGCAATCTACAATGACAATAGACGGGCTACAAATGACAAATGCTTGTACCTTGCTTAGAAACAATGAAAACTGTTCACGAAGCGACAACGTTGCGTCATTCACTACCCGCCTATCGGCATTTGTAGGTTGCATGCATACGTCACATAACGCGTCGTGGACAGTTTACTCTCCGTTTATGACTTGATAATTCTGTTTTTATTATCCTTTTTGTGTCATCATCACAATATTCGCCATAATAAAGCCGGTACAGTTCGACTACAGCTCGGCACACAACCGTTGTTTCTCCGTACGCACCTCAGTGCTGTGCGCGCGCACACTGAATTTTTATGGGTTATTTTATACCACCGTCTCCTATTGGGTTTCATAACATTTACTAACACTGCTGTCCGTACTTGAACTGTGCTAATGGCGTCTAGTGGACATGTGGTCACTATTTATACTTCCTTTTCAAAAATTAAAACTGGCTTCGTAACACATCATCACACATTGACATCAGCTAGGTAGACTGTTATTATAAGTTAAAGCTTTTCGCATTTATCCTGTTTAATAATAGGCATTTTATTACGTGTGGTAGAAGAACAAATGATATCAAAGCAACCAGTTTCTCCCAAATCGTCATTTGTTGCATTTTTTATTTCTATTTGCACTGGCTAGATAATTGATTGATTGTTCCTCACTTATGTGAAGTTCTTTTTTGATATAAGAGACCGATACGACTTCATGAGACATATCTTTTTTATGTGACGCGTAGCTAAGGCGTGATTGTAAGCTATCTACATATCCAAACTTATAAACATCATCAGCGTCAGTCAGTTTCCATCCACTGCTCTCTAATAACACTGCATTGTGCTACTGAGCTCGATAAACTCTTCGCATCCCACCACTGTAACATCAAAATTCAAATAGACTAATTGCTATCGTCATGTTGTATCTTATTGTCGTTTATGTCCAATCCCTTTATCCCCAAAAAGTCGGCAACGCAGTAGTAGCAGTCTAGTGTCCATAGGCGATGCCGATTGCTTAACATCTAGTGCGTAGTTCAGGAAAAAGGAAGAAAAATATGCCCCAAAAAACTATCAAAAGTGAATTAGAATTTATTTAATCGTTTATATCTCTACTTCTCTGCGAATGAATTTAGTTCACAGTAAACAGTTTGCCCCGGAGCTAAATAAGCGCTACATATTTTTCTAATAGGGTCCAGGTATAAAGTGCTTCAGTCTAGTCTGAGTAATTGGAATTCCAGGCAGGATTCTAGTCACGTTTGTACCATTTCTGCTAACTTGTGAGGACCTGTTTGAAGGTTGTTTTGTCGTTTATATACTTGTGTGGCTAAAGTATTAAACAGATTTGAAAAACATTAAGTTTATAATTACTTATTTAAACCATTTATTGATATTTTGTTGTTATTAGAAACTGCCTTAATTGGTATTTTTTTTCTTCTATTTGAAGTTTCAAAAGAAATAGCAAAATAACACAGAAAACCCGCTCAAAATGCAATGCAATTTTTAAGGAAATCACAGAGTAAATAATAAAAAATTCAACGAAAAAGCTGACTCGTGGAGGATTTGAACCTCCGCCCTCCGATGGTCAAGATTTGAATTATATCGGCGCTCTAACCTACTGAGCTAACGAGTCTTGCTTTATGTTGACGAAAACTCCAACCACTAAAATGTAGATGACGTCATAACCTTATGACGTCGTCTACATTTTAGTGGTTGGAGTAGCTACCTAGCTATTACAAAGTTAACACAGAAGGCCAATAGTTTAATTTAAGAAAAATTAAACACTATTCTAGTACCTATTAGGGTCTATTTCTATTTTCTATACTAAATCTGTATCTTATGATAAGACATTCTTCTATTTGTAAAGGTAGATAGTGTTCCTAGTATGTTTTAAGAACATATTCTGTCGTATAGAAAATCTATTGTCTTGAAAAATAAATAATGAAAGTAAAGCATTTCTTCAAATTGTTTTATTATATAAAACAATAAATGATAAGACGCCCATTACAGAATAATGTCTCAAATTAATTTAAAACATTCTCTTCGTATTTATCGATCACTTTGATTTTTCCGACTGTCATTTGTTCAAAGTAATACTACTGATACTTATCATTTTGATAATGGTATGATTCACCCTTGTTTGTTTATATCCGCGTTACTAGGTGATACCTATTGATATTATTTTCACTGCACAATGATAGCGATAAAACGATATTTTTATTATCTTTTCCTCGTTGGTGGTATAGGTGAAAATACCACTGGTGATTCAGGCTTTAATCCCTGGTCTGTTAATTTAGGTATTGTATGATTTTTCATTACAATTTGGAATGTATAGTTTGTTTTAGTTCATGTTTAATTTTAATAGTTTTCAAACATAATTTTAATATAGGTAAAATGACATAGTCAATCAGATGATTTTCCCTATTTTTAGATACACGAGAAAGAGTCCAATATAATTCATTAAGGTAGCCTTAACTCGTCGAGCACCGTCAATATAGACACGATTAAAGAACAATAGGTTGCGGTCACCGGTGACCGCTTGGTGTTTGACAGTTTAATACTGAAATCATTCTGACTCCAAAGATTCATTATTATCCAATATATGAAAGTGACATCAATACAACCCTTGACACAGTTGTAAACTGGCTCAATAACAACAACTTGGTAGTAAATGTTCAAAAAACAAAGATTATGCACTTCTACCAGAGAATTCTTCCCAAAGCAATGAACATAGGCTACAACGGA